ATCGTGCGCTTCCGGTTGCGTTTAACCTCTGTGGTTAACGTGTTAGGTGCTCTTTTTTCTGGTTGGTTGCAGGCGGGTACTTTCGAATGGAAAACACGTTCGGAGGGCGGCGGGTGGCGTGCTGCGGATCCCGGTGCGTGGCGCGCCGCTCCGGTCCGTGTTGAAACCGCCCCGGCCGACACCATATCCTGAGCACACACGAGGTGACTAAGAAATGCCGGCCGAGGGAGGGCGACCCGAGCAGTTCCGTTTCACACATGAGCCGGCCGAGCCGGATCCGCGGGTTTCACAACCGGGGCCGGCCGCGGCTTTGTCACCTGCAGACAGGCTCGAGGTTTAGCTCCGCCGCGGCTTAGTTTAGCTCCGGCTCAGCTCGGGCGCTGCTCTGAGCTCAGCTCCGGCTCGGCTCGGGCGCTGCTCTGGGCTCAGCTCCGGCTCGGCTTGGGTGCTGCTCTGGGCTCAGCTCCGGCTCGGCTCGGGCGCTGCTCTGGGCTCAGCTCCGGCTCGGCTTGGGTGCTGCTCTGGGCTCAGCTCGGGGATGGCTACGAGCTCAGCTCCGATGTAGTTTTGGGATCAGCTCCGAACTGAGTTACAAGCTGAATGTCTGGCTCAGTTCTTAGCTCAATGCTTTAACACGGCGATCAGGTCCGAGCTGAGCTGTGAGAGTTTCGGGCTCAGCTTTGAGCGCAGCCCCAGCGCAGCCCCAGCGCAGCCCCGCCCCGATCGCCCCCGTCCAAAGATCTCTCGGGGCTCGGCCCACCTGCCTGGCGCGGCGCTACCGGACAAAGGCAGCGGCGCGGCACCGGATGGGCCTCCCGGCGGCCGCGGCCGTCGTACATGGACCGCACACGGTGAGGAAATGGCCAAAACCTGTCCCGGCGACGTGATGCCGCCACCGCTGCCAAAAGCCGGCTGAGATCAGTGCTCTCAAGGTCCCCCTATCCCCCAGCCGCCTTATCCGGATTTTGTCAGATTTGTGGAAAAGAGAGAAAAGTGTTTGTAGTAACTGCATCTTCTTTCGACGTTTGAAACACATTTTCATCGGAAAGTTATGTGTAACATTACGCTGTTGCTAAACGGCTTCTCAAAGACAGTTGTGTTGTCCTGGGGACAGCGCCTTCAGATACACACTCGGCCTTTCGCAATTAGTTTCCAATATTGCCTTCTGCGCACCGGAGTGGCTACGTCAGACGGCCGTCAGGGCGATGCGGTGCGTTAAAGGCCACGGCAGGCGTGCCGATGCCGTGCCATGATGACGCTGATGACGTCACGCCAGCGCAGAGTGCCGCGGTGACGCCGCTGACCGCAGCCGATGAAGCGGCATGACGAGTCCGGACCGGCCGGTCGGGAGGTGCGCGAGAAGTCGACTTGGCCGGCCCCTCTGGCCTCCGCAGGCCGATAAGGTGCTGAGATCTTTGAAATGTGTGGCGCTTGGGATGTGAGTCAGAGAGGGCTGCTGGTCAGGCGCAAATAGCAATGCGTGTGGCTGCAGTTCCGGCGGGGTGTCTGAACAATATATATCATAAGGCTGAGAACCATATGGTGCTCGGGGGCTGCCCAGGGCACACTTCTAGTTAACTCGTTCTGCACAAGTGAGTCAGTCCAGACGCCTGATGTGCTGTCGGGATGTCCAATGTTCGTTCTGTGTAAAAGAGTGTTTGAGCTGTATGTCGGGCGGCGAGAGTGGTGGCCCGGGTCGGCCTGTCTGCGGAGCCGGCCGGATCTGGCCGGTCACCGCCGCGCCACCCGGATGTGCCACCACTGGGAGCTGTCGCCCGGCGGACAGTGAGCGCGCCTTTCGCCGCGTCCCGCGGGAAAGCGCGCGGCGCCCCGCCCGCCGCGCGGTCGGCACGCACTGAATCGGGTCGGCGTCGGCGGCCAGGTCCGGGTGGCGCTCCACTCGCCGGCCGGCCGGCCCGTGACGTCACCGGCCGGCGGCGGCCGTGGCCGCGCCGTGCGCCGCCGCAGTCGCTGCCGACCGTCCCGCTGGTGAGGAGGTGTGCGGTGCGCGCCGACCCCCGCTGCCGTCTGTGAGTGCCATGGCTGCTGGCCAGTGAGCGGTGCGGGAGCCGAGCGAGCCGTGTGTCCGTCCGTTCCTGCGCCACTCGTCACGCGTGTTCCTGTCTTTCTGTCGTCCGTCGGAACAGGATGATCGCCATGTCACAGGTACGGTGTGCGGGACAGGTGATTGTGAAGGGGAGCCAGGTGCGTACTGTGTAATAACAGCGTGCGCACGGAGAACAAATCCACGCAGATAGAACGCACTTTGCGGCTTTCGAGCACACACGTGTGGCTATGTTCTTTGTTTCCGTTCTATCGCATGTATTCTTCGTCTGTGGATGACGCTGTAAATACTGTTGTCATCACTTTTTCTCACCGACCGGTCATCGACTCGGCTGTTTCCGGTGCGTGTTCAACAACATCCACCCCGGCGCCCTGTTGGCGGCGGCAGGCCGGGGTGACTCGTCACTCCCGGTTCCTGGAACTTCACTCATGATGCAGGAAATCTGGCCGACCGGCCGACTGGTCACGGGGTGACGCGGCCCGCTCAGTCAGCCCACCCCATGTGTCAGCTGTCGTGTACCCGTTCCGGAGTCGGAACTCGACCCCAGCCTGTGTCACACGAGAGTCGACCTCAGTCGACCCAATCGGCGGCCTTGGGCGGCGCTCGCGGTCTGTTTCCTTAGCCGGACATTGAGCACATGCGGCTCACGTAGCTCGGTTACACAACTGGCGGCCATTGAGGCCGGCCGATTGCACCAGCGCGGCGGCTGCGGTCGACCGGAGGCGCCTTGGCTCGTTGTCCGCCGGCTGGCTCGGCTCACGGCCGGACGGCCACCGCGCACTGCCGTCCCGGACCTGCCGGAGCCGGCGGCGGCGCCGTAACCGCGGCCGCCCATTCATTGGCGGAGTTGGCAGCCGGTCCGCGCGCCGTGTGTGTGCAACTCGGGCTGCCGCTGCTGCTGCGGTGCGGCGGCGCGATGGTGGGGTGGCCGATAATGGTACCGAGCGGGGGAGGGCCGAGGCAGGTGTGTTTGTCGGGCCGTGTTTGTCGGGCCGTGTTTGTCAGGCCGGATGTCCTAGGGTGCGATCCCGGTGCACGGTACCGTTCCATGTAGCTTAATCGGTAGTCGATAAACGTCAACATCTAATGTGTGTATCCATTAGTAATGTAAACGGCATTCCGCGGGGTCGCCTGTCCGCGTCCATTGGTCATTCACCCATTCACTGACAGCACCTCGCTGAGCTGTTGGGGCCGTCCAGTGGGTAAGGTCCGTCACACTCACTCTCGAGTGGTATCCGTGTGTCTGATTGACGGCCGGACATTGTGTCGGGTGACAGACGGATACGCTGCGGACCTCCCCTGACCCCTGAATGACGCGGACATCCGGGAGCGGACACCTCACAGCACGGCGACGCCGCAACTCCCCGAACCGGACGGCCCGGGTACGGAACCTTTTCAGCTGTCGGCCGGAACGTGATCGGGTGCGATCTGAGCGGCGCTGCAGCGCTGCACAAAACTTCGGTGTATGACGTAAAGGTTGCCAAAATGAATGGGGAGGTGGGGAGGTGTTTGAAATGTTTGATCACCCTAGTCGATTTAGTGTACCCTGAGTGACTGATTTGAAAGAGAAGAGAGCGGTGGCGACGGCGCGATTCGGTGTCTGCTTTCTCCCGCCCCCGCCTATCTTCTAGTCTGCAGCGGTGATCGACAGGTCAGCGACTCTCTCCCTCTCCCTCCTTCCATCCCCCTCCCTTTCTCCCTCCTTTCCCTCTGGCCCTGCGTTCCTCTAGGAAAGCGGACCGGATCCGCTCGCACCCTCCGCTCGTTTCTCGGTGTCCGCCGCCGGCTGTGTGGCCCGGTTACCCAACTGAGCTATTGCACGTCGCGAACAAAGACGGGAAGGCCGCGCTCTCGTCACCGGGCGGTGGATTCGGTAGTGGCAGCAATCCCTGGTCCGGTCAGCTGTTTCGAGAGTAGACTGTCTGCCCGGCCCGACCCGACTGGGTTTCCCGAGAAGTTTCCCGGACCCGCCTGATGTTCACGCGCGCTCAGCGGCGCAGTAAGCGTCTTAACACTGATACATTCCTTTTGGCCGGCTTGCGGTGCTTGCCCCGTTAGCCGACGGCGCTTGCATGAGCGGCTGGTCCCGGGGAGACTGGCGTGGCGTGCCGGCGGGTCGGCGCGGCCTTCGCCGCCGGCCGGCCGGCCGGTGGCGCGGAGTGGGTCACGGGCCGTCTCCGCCGTCCCGGATGTGTTCTATGTGGGTCGGAGACGCGCTGGCCGGATCTGGTCCACGCCAGACGCCCTCGGCCACAATGGCAGTCCTCAGGTGTCAAATACGCCACTTTGTGTGATAGCTCACCTCAGCCGGAACACAAAGGCGGTGCGCTCTAATGACCATGGCGGGCGCGACTCTCATGTGTCGGCGAAATCCGGATTTGTTTGGATGGCCATCGTTGGCGGCACGATATCGATTTCCGCCTTATGTAACGTGTTTGGTCGGCGCCCGTGTCTCCGGCGCTGGTCATTCACGTGTGTTCTCAGTGTGCCGCGGGCAGTGCGCGTCTGTGCAGCGCCGGGGATGCTCGGCCCGCTCGGTATGCCGGCCGCGGCGCGGCGCGGCACTGCGCTGTTTGTACTGCCGTCTGTTATTGTCCCCGCCGGTCGCCCTCGCCGGCTCCCGGACACGTTTGTGACATATCCGGCGGGTGCCGGCGCGATCTGCCCGCAGCGGGATGCCGATCATGCCTCGGGGTGGCGTCACTTTTCAAAGGGAGAGGTGAACCATGTGGTGGGCGGTCAATTGCCGGAGGCTGTTCGTGCTAATGATCTCGGCCGTCGCTGTAATAGGTGGTCGTCCCGTATTGACTGGCTGGCTCGCTGGGCGGGTAGCGCAGGTCGCCAGGTGTATCATGTAGTGTGATTGTGACTCTGACTGTGACTGACTGTGACTGACTGTGACTGTGACTGACGGTGTGTCTCTCTGTGTCCGCAGGAGGGGTGCCGGCGTCTGGTGCCGCTGGCGCGCTGCTACCAGCCAGTGTCGCCGGCCGCGCCGGGCCCGGCCCGTGACGGCCGCCGGCTGGTCATGTCCTCGCGGCTGCCGGCCCAGTCGGCGCTCGACGAGCCGCCGCGCAAACTCAAACTGGAGGCCGAGGACAGCAGCTACGACAGCGACTCGGAGGCGGCGCCGGCGCCCGAGCACGAGGATGTGTCGCGCACCGTGAGCGACACACTGGGCGCCGAGTTCGCCGAGTATGTGACCGCCGGCGCCTCCGAGACCGCCGACTACGCCAACAAGGTCGAGTTCGCCTGCAAACTCGGCTACACCGAGGAGCATGTGCAGCGGGCGCTGCGCAAGCTCGGCGCCCACCCGGGAAACAACGACTTCCTCGAGGAGCTCATCCGTGTCGGCAAGGACGGCAAGGGGGCTGTCGCTGATGTGGAAGAGCTCGATGAGCGCACGGCGCGTCTGCGAATCTCGCGCGAGTCTCGCGAGGAGCCCTCCAACCTCCGTCACATCGTACTCGACGGCAGCAACGTCGCCATGAGGTGAGTAACGCGCCGAGACCGGCGGGGAGAGCCTGGGGCGTTACTGATCAGACGAACGGGGTGATATTTACGGGAGAGTTATACCAATGGGAGTGGCGGATGTTGACAGCTGAATGTGCTCTGGTGTTCCCCGTGGCGACCTTGTAGCTATGACTAATCTAGATTGCAAACGAAACCACGTGCTGAGCTGAGCCGTATAAATAAGCGCTGTACCGTGTTTCAACAAGTTGCTGTGTCAGTGTTTCACTACCGAGTAAACTGTCGCTCCCACGCGACGAGCGTCTCGGCCGGCGCTGAATCGTAACCGGCGAAAGGGGAGATTCTGTGGCGGTGCCAGCGCGGAGAGACGGGCGGAGCGCCGCCGGCGGACGCGCCGCTGCCAAAGTGAAACTGGCCCGGCCCGGCCGCCGCCGCGGGTCACCGACTCGGGGTTTTCCCTAGGGTGACGGCGGAAGGCTGTGGATAGATCGGGAAACCATCTGGGTGGAGCAGAGTCAGCTGCTGTGTACGATGAGTGCCTGGACCAACCGGTTGCATCACTCCCGACTGTGTCACGTGTTGTGGGGACCTTTTCGGGCGGCAGAATGCTGTTTCTGTCTGTTGTTGTGTTGTAGTGCGAGGCGCGGTCTGTCGGGCACCTCGTCGTCTCCTAAGCTGGCTCGGTGTGAGTGACAGCGGAGTGCCCGGACGGCCCCGGAGCCGGGCCGTGCCGCGTGACCGATCTGCCGGATACCACCGACGGCCAATTGGCGCCGGACAATATCTCCCGACATCCACCGCCGGAGCCGCTCGGACGGCAATGTCAAAATGATTGTATCGCGCGCCGCCTCCTTTATGGCCCGACGGCCGGCTCAGATCCGGGAGTGCGCTGCTGCTCTCCAGATTGTCGTCTGATCTGCCCGTGGCGTATTCCTAATGACGGCTGCAGCCGCAGCGGGATGTCTTCATTCCAATCGGGAGCCGGTGCTGCCGTCAAACGCGGCGGCGACACGGCGCTGCGACCGGACCTTCTGCGGCCGGCCGGCGGCGGTGATCAATGTGCACCCGCCGGGCCGGCGGTTTTATTGCATTCCGCCCGCTGCCCGTTGCCGTGTGCCGCCGCGGTGACCCGGATGTGGCCATCAGGTCGCGGCTGCCTCCGTGCCGTCCACTGACCAGGCCGGGACGGTGGCCGCACCGGCGCCGGTCGCCGGGGCCGCTCGGCTGACCCCGTCAGCTGGTCGGCCGCTCGCCGACCCGGATGCGGCCGCCGGTCGCTCCTTTCGCTCGCCTCACGATTTCACCTTGAGCCCGAGGAGCGGCGCTGGCAGCTGGTGAGACTCTGCGCCGCCGGGGCGCCGCCGGGTCACCGGGCGACCCGGAGCGCCGCCGGCGCGGGCGGCGGGACGGCGCCGGGCCGGGTCACGGCGGACCGACGGGCCTGTTGCGTCAGTCGGCTCCGGTTTGGTAATTCCGCGACAGAGAGTCGCTGTTGGACCGTCCGACAGACGGGAGACAGGAGCCCCCGCCGCTGCCGGTACCAGCGCTGTCCGCCGGCCATTGTTCGGCGCTGAGCTCCGGTCAGCGCGCGGCGGACCGGTCGCCGGTGGGGGGCCGAGTGCAGCTGCTGCCGCTAGCCTTTATCGTGTCAGTGTATGAATCCATGTCGTGGGGACTGGCGAGACATGTTAACACCGTACTTAAATCAGCACGGTTTTGTCGAGAGCGGCCGGCCGCCGCTACCAGATCTGTTCTCGCGGACAATGGATGCGGATGTGAGGAGAACTGGGTAACGTTTTCGCTGTAACTGTTCAGCCGGTGAATGAGGCACGGACCGCGTATTCCGGCACGGTGTTGGTAGGTGCGGCGACGGTCGTGCCGACGGCGGTGGGGTAGGTTCCTCCTTCAGAACCGCTCGGAGCCGACCCTCCAGGAAAACGGACGCGGACTGACCGGAGGATCATCCCCGAATCGTGACACGGAAAGCACGGTTGACGTTCCCGGTGCGTCCGCCTGACGGTCGGCCGAGGACGGACGTTTCTGGGCGATACTAGCCGATGGAAAACCCCGCGCGGCTGTCGAGCTGCTGGCTGCAGCTGCGTCAGAGTCGCAGGAAGGGTCAGCGCGGCTGCCCGCGCGGCCTTGGTGCGCCGTCCTCCACCCAGCGGCTGGCTCGCAACAGAGCGCAGGTGCCGCCCGCGGCACCCCAGGCAGCCGCTGCAGCGCGCATTCAGCTGCTCCCGGGCTACAACGACGCATCGCCAGAGCCGCGCGGGCGATTCCATGCATCGCGACCCTTACTGCCGCCGGCCGCCGCGGCGCGATACCTAATGGCCTAATGGACGACGGTGCGGCTGCGGCGGCATCCGGGTTGGTCCGGCCTCTGGCGGCCCGCGCGGCGGCGCTTTGTACACTCTCGGGCAGCGGTGCGGGCGGGCGGTATATCGACGGCGGCGGCGGCGGCGCACCGTATGGTCGGTCAGTGATGCCGTCACTCTCCGCCGGATGCTGGTGCCCGCGCACCTGCAATTGGTCGCCGCCGCACCGTGGGGACTTTTGCGATCCTAGCACGACATAAGTGGCAAATGCGAGTACTTTGATTTCCACTTTCTTTATGCTCTTTCTACGCAGAATTGTCCAGTGTATCCGAATCCGACTTTAAATCGCTTTAAAAATGATGACTTACACATCAAAATACGTCACAAAGTGAAGGGTTGAGCTCACTAGCACCGTGCTCCTAGGATAGGGCGAAAAATTACATGACAACGGAACGCCTGCTCACTCGTTTAATCAAGCACCAATCCGATGTTGCGACATGTTTTTATAATCTGTATTTAATGAGGAATACGAGCATATGCATGAAAAGTTCGAAAAATAATCCAAAGGTACGATTTTTGAATGAAATACAAAAAATGTTAATATGTCACTTGTCTCGGAGATTTGACTCGGCAAATCATAGCCTTACAAAGTGAGTTACGCGGTGTTACGTGTGGAAACACATATCAAAATATTCTCCCATAAATTCTGCATTGGAATCAACTCTTATCTTTTGCCCAATTTTGCCCAAACAGCTACTACGAGACATTAAAGCAGAAGATGTCGCGTGGCTCCCACCGCTCCGCCGCGCTGCCCGGCGCCGCGGCGGTCAGCTGACTGCGGCGTACCGCCGCAGGAGTTACGCGTGGAAACACATATCAAAATATTCTCCCATAAATTCTGCATTGGAATCAACTCTTATCTTTTGCCCAATTTTGCCCAAACAGCTACTACGAGACATCAAAGCAGAAGATGTCGCGCGGCTCCCAGCGCTCCGCCGCGCTGCCCGGCGCCGCGGCGGTCAGTGACTGCGGCGTACCGCCGCAGGAGTAGTGTCGTGCTAGGAGGGGCAAAGACCCCACAGTGCGCCGGCCGCCCACACTCTCGGCTCGGCTCCCGAGAACAGCTGGCCTGGACGGAGTGGGGGCGGCTCTCCAAGGGGACGGTGACCGGTGACACCTCGGGAGGGGTCGAGTTGGTGGGGATTCGAGGGAGTGCCCACGGTCCATTGAATGAGCGTTGAATGGAGTTCCAGATGGCAGCGCCCAGTCTCTAGGGGAGGGGCTGTTCTGACCGCTCCAGGTCGGTGCGATGCGGTGGGTGTCTATCGGATTACGCCTACGGCCGCAGGATGAGCGCCGAGGCTGCGGAGGTCGTTCTGTTCCGTCCTGCCGGCCGGTAGGGCTCGTACATCCCTCCCTCGCCGGCCTTGAGTACCGGCCGCCGCGCCGGAGAGCCGTCTCAGCTCGACTGCGGTGATGGAAGTGCCGGGATGATCGGGACTTGCCCGGCGTTTCCCCGACTGGTCGCTGGCGTTACTCCGCAGTCCCAGGCCGATTTATGTCGTCACCGGAGGGCCGTGGGCTCGACTGTCCGTCCAACTCTCGGCAGCGACTAATAGCAGCCGGGGAGGCGCGGTGCCGCCGGCCACACGCCGGCTGAGCCGTTGATGGATGCTTTCCGGCAACGTTCCCTGTATCGGCATGAGCCAGGGCATTTGATGTATTGCTGGACTGACCGCGCGGAGTGGGTGCGACCGACTCCATCGGCATTCTTGTGAGTCCGTGAGTCCCACGGTGACAGCGGCGATATTGCCAAGGTGCCTTTGACCGTGTGGTGTAGTGCAGGGTCCTTGTCGCCATAGTGCCTCTGTAGGTACTTGCGAAGTATGCATGATGTACGATGTGCCTGGGAACTTCGTGCGACCAGCGACTATAAGTGGCTAGCAGCAGCAATTACAAGCGCATACAAACACCGTAAGCAGCAATCAGATACACATGCCAGGCTCTCAGCGAAATTAATATGGTCCGTGCATCGTCCGGTCGTTCATCATCGCCCTGCTGCCGTGTTTATTCCGTGGATCCGGCCCTGCGATGTTAAGCGTTACGTCACACTTGCTCTGGGATTTCGCTATCGACTGCGGAAGCTGGCTATTTGATGACGTAGAAAAGTTGCGTCACTCGCGCGGGTGTTAATCGTGAATCACCCGTCACTCACCCGTCTTTGTAGTTGACGCGACCTCGACGGTGAAGGAGGTCGCGTCCTTGTCCTGTTATGCTACACCTCAATCGCAAACTTGCCACCTGCATCCTGATTCCTCACAAGTGCCAGGCGTTGTATTGAGTCCGTTCCGTGAGGCGCTATCAGCGTCTGTTTGGAGATGTGTCAGCCGGTCAGCTGGCGCGGCGAATCGACTCGCCGGCGCCGGTGGGCCGGACACCGGACGGAGTTGTTTACCTGTCGCTATCGCAGATCCGGGTCACGACGGAGTGCCCCCGCTCCGCCCCGCCCCGCCCCGGTGCTCGGCCGTCGCGTGCCGGCCGGGGGCAGGGGTGTTGCCTTCTGCCCTCCATCGCCTTGGCGACAAGTTGCATAGCCCTTCGGGAGTTATCGTTGTTGTGCTGCGTGGATTTCCCTGAATTTGTTATAGTAGATATCCCCATTTGCAGTTTGGTGATTCCCCATGTGTGTGAGACAACGCTCAAGCTATTTTGAGCGAACCTTTAAATGAACTAAGTTATGCGAGCCATTTATTTGGTTTGGCCGTTCAGATAGCTCGTCTGTAGACTGTTCACGGCCGGCAAAGTATGCATCAGGTGATGTGTTTGTTCGGTCACGCTCAATATTCATAAAGCAAGATACATGACTTACTGCTTACGTGGTTAGTGGAATATATGCAGGTTTCATATAATCGTGTTCCTACATAATCCTGTATGACCTCATCCAACGTACTGTGATGAACGAGATAGCAAGCGTGTCTAACGAGAATGACCTCATGTAATTGACCACAATCGCGCCGGTGCTGCGCGCGGTAGTGTTCCATATTTGAGCGGCTCGCATGGCGTTTGAGGCTGTAAACCATTTGCGCCAGCGCCCAGGGGCTCACGCTGCTTGGGCCCGCCTTTGCATGATCCGCCGCCTCTGTCCGATGTGTGTCTGGCGCCGAGACACGACCTCACAGACGGTCGGCCGTGCTTGGGGAACGTAGGCCGTAGCGTGGGACGTGCGTGAGAGCTGAACCGGCGCCGTGGTGAGATAGTGTGCACGGGAGGAGTGTCACGGGGTCTGACAGATCGCCGAGAAAGGCTGATCGAAGAGCACTGGTCCTATGGTCGTACCCTGGCGGACGCCGTAAGAACCCGGCAGTACAGCACTGAGGGCTGATGTCTCACAGCTGGGCCGCGGCGCGCTCACCGACCACAGCGAGCACAATCGACGGAAACCGGCGAACAAAGCCGAGCGGATCGTCCCTGGCACCGGCGACGACACCGCGAACTGACTACCAGTTCCGAGCACCACAAGGACAGACGCTTCATTGGACAGACAATTTTTATTGACTGTTCTTTGTAGCCGGTGCGCCCAGTTGCCGGCGATTGTGTCCAGGGTTCCTGTGTGCAGTTTGACCGCTGGCCGTGTGTCGTTAATGAGATGCGGCGCGTGGCTCGTCAGCTTCCTGGTGGCTCTGGCGGCCTTGTGTGCGGCTGATCACGGCCAGTGACGTCATGTGCTAGCCGTGACGTCAGCAGACTGACGGCGACCGACAGCCGACGACAAAACCCGATATATTGCGCAGAAATGCTGCTAATGCGCGTCAGTAAAAATAGAGACCAGAGTATTTGCGTCTGGAGGTACTGGATCACTTATGTTGTTATCTACTCGGAAATTAGTCGAACATAGAGCAGCGTCGAATATTGATGTTTCCGCTGCGCGCTAGATGACTCGGCTCGGTCTCTGCCCAGTCTCCGATCTGTTTAGTCGCTGATCAGGCTGTGTGTTGGTGGATGGTGCGCGCCGCGCGGTCGTCGGCGCAGGCCGCTATTATTGGCGCTGGGGCGGTTAGAGCCGTCGCTCCCGGATGTTGTACACGGCGGGCTCGGCTCCGATCGGCTCGGCGGCAGTCACCGCCCCCGTCACTCGCTCTGGGGGCGGCGAATGATAATCACCCGGGCAACGGGGAACGACCAGATAAAAGCGTCAGCGGGCACGGCGGGATCGGGTTCAGTCATCGGCTTTGCGCCGCGGTTTGGCGGTGCTCGGATGGGACAGACGCGTGCTCGTTATGACGCTAGAGTTTTGTCAGATTGTCGTGGAGCGTAGATTTGAATTCCACGCCGCTCGTTTGTGTCATTCGGTTGTCGGTGGATTGATTTATGGGCTCGTGTGACAGCGCTTGTCATATCGCTGAATAGTGGAAATAAGTCAGGTCTGAGTGCTGAATGGCTGAAGAGCTGGGGTAGATGCGGGTCGCCCCGAATGCCACTGTGAAACGGCGGCCGTCGGTGGAGACTGCGCCGGCCGGACGCGGACAGCTCCGTGGGCCCGGCGGCGGCTCGGTTCGAGACTGATCTCGGGAGAGGCGCCGCTCTCGTGGGAAGCCGCGTGGCCGCCGGCGGCCGAGCGCGTCACAGACGGTTCGCTGGCGCCAGTCGTGAAAGGCGGCGAAAGTGGCGCTGGCTGGCATCGCGGTGCGGCCTTTGGGGTGGCCCGCGGCGGGGACGGGACGACCCGATCGTCGTCAGGTCGTGCACCAGCACACTGTCGGCCGTCTTTGTTGTGGTCAGAGGTTTTTTCTTGGCTAATGATGGGAATCGGGAAGATGGAGCTGTCAACAAACAAATGAGCCCTGGACACCGATCTGAAAAAGAGCTTGTGAATGACTGAGGGATTTATGAGAGAACCGACCTGTCTTGGAGACCGGTGTGTGAGAGGCCAGTGATACTATTTGTGGAACGAAAACTATTTGCAATTTATGTGCTTTGGATAATGAATTACTCCGTGCACCTCTAGTTGGTTTAATGTCGACAACACATAAACAACAAAACTAGGACCGTTTCTGGCCACCAGCAGCCGGCCATTTGTCGCGACTCTCCGTCTGGGCGGTGTCTGTGCCGGGGTTCGTCGGGGCCGTGCCCTCTAACCATGTCCCGTCTGTCTGACCCGCAGTCACGGCAACAAGGAGCGCTTCTCGTGTCGCGGCATCCGTCTGGCGGTCGAGTACTTCCGGGCGCGCGGCCACCAGGGTATCACCGTGTTCGTACCCATGTGGAGGAAGGAGGCGCCGCGGCCCGACACGCCCATTACAGGTGAGAGGGAGCGGAGAGAGAGAGAGAGAGAGAGAGAGAGAGAGAGAGGGAGAGAGAGAGAGAGAGAGGGAGAGAGAGAGAGAGAGAGAGAGAGAGAGAGAGAGAGAGAGAGGGAGAGAGAGAGAGAGAGAGAGAGAGAGAGAGAGAGAGAGAGAGAGAGAGAGAGAGACCGACTGCGCCGAGCACGCTTCAGCGCGCACGAGCGCCGCTTTCGTGTCTGTGGCGCCGCTGCCTGAAAGGCGCCAGGGAAACCTGTGCAGGGTTTTCAGGGAGGATGGGAGAAACATGGCGCCGATTGCCGGTTGCCTGGGAAGCGGCGCCGGGCGGGGTGGGAACCTGAGGTCTGATGGTGGTGCCGGCAGCGGTGCGATTCCCGGGCGGCTGTGCGCGCCGCTGCCGCCGCCGAGTGACCGGGGTCGTGTCCGGCGCATCTCGCGGCGCATCTCGTGGTGCATCTGCCGACGGGGAGTGTCACGCCGCACGACGCCGCAGATGGAGCGGCGTCGTGACGCGCCGGCTGCTGGACGCGCGATGAAGGCGACCGCCGCCGCCGCCGCTGACGTCAGCGCCGGACCGGTCTGGCCGACCGACCGGCCGACCCGCCAGCCCGCCGGAAGTGAAGGGCTGTCCACTCGGTGCGTCGAGTTCTCACAGCTGTGGAAGGGAATTCGGCTATAGACCGCTCTCCCCGTGGGGCTCGTTGTGACGGTGTCCTCGGTCGCCCCGGAGGTAGTGTCTCTCTCTCGGAGACAGTGCGACTCCCGGCCGGCGCTCCAGGGGTCTCCTCGGCGCACCACCTGCCGCTCCGTGAGGCCTCCAAATATGGTGGGCGCCGCCGCGCGGCCGCGTCACGACCCGGCCGGCTGCGAGGCCTTTAAAGGCGGCCGCCGCTGGCTGCCGTCGCTGCTGCGTACCGGCTGTCACAAATTATGAATCCTCCCCTGCCGTGCATAATGTCGACTGCGGGAGCGGATCAGCTGAGCCGGCGGCGGGTGGCCTCTGACCGTTGTGCCGCTATCAGTACGGCGCCGGCCAACTTGGCACTGCCGGGTGATGTAAGCCAACTGCGCTGGTGGCTGCCGGGGCGCGCTCGCCAGGCAGATGGACCGTTGAGATGGCGAGCCGGAGTTTCGCTGGCCGGGGGGCGATTTTCGCCGGCAACTGGGAGAGCGCCACTGACTGGGACCTTCTGCGTCTTCACAGATCAGGATGTGCTGCTGGAACTGGAGAGAGAGGGCATCCTGGTGTTCACGCCATCTCGGGTGGTGGACGGAAAGCGGATCACGTGCTATGATGACAGGTGAGCACAGAAGTTTGCGGGTTCGTGAGTTTGGTGGGGTGCATTCTCACGGTATTGCTGTTGTTTGAAACGGGTTCTGTACAAGCCGGACCTGGCCTGGCTCGGATGTTATGTTTGGGTGAATGCGTCGTGTCTGGCGGAGCCCTTGATCAATGTGTCACGTGCTGCGTCTCCGTCTCGCCAGGTATATTCTCCAGACAGCGCTCGACGAGGATGGAGTCGTCGTCTCGAATGATAACTACCGTGATCTGCACAAAGAGAAACAGTTCAAAAAGATCATCGAAGAGCGCATCCTCATGTATTCCTTCGCCAATGACAGGTGAGTTAATGCTGCTTTACTGCTTGTCCATAATGTCCTTCCATTGCTGCTATCCGGTTTAAAGTAAATGCATTTTTTAAGGATTTGCTTTGGTGAATGCTCAATGACAATGTTTTAGTAGTAGCGAGGCCCCTCGGCTTCCATAGCCCGTTTTGGTGCGGTGGTACATACATGATGCTATCTATCGGCCGAACGACTATAGCCTATCAATAGGTGGGCTCGGCCGGGACAATGCCGACCGCTCGTTTTCCTCACTGTTCCGAGACACAGCGGCATTTCGCTGGGCCAAGGACACGCGCAGCTGTGTGGTATTTGTCCTCGCCAACTTGTGGGAGGTGTTTTCAGAGCACCGCCGATCGGGCGCACGCTCTCGGCCTCTCGCTGACCGGCTGTCTCTCCTGTTCGCAGGTTTATGCCGCCTGACGACCCGCTCGGCAGGAACGGACCGACGCTGGACAACTTCCTGCGCAAGAGTCCGCGCCCGTCCGAGTCGCTGTGTCCGTACGGCAAGGTGAGAGTCGTCGCCACTTTCCTGTCGGCCGAGGCCGCTCGACAGGACATAACGTCCGTGCAGGCGCGACAAAAAGCACCCGGTGCCGGTCGGCCGGCGATTTTTACGCGGTCGCGCTCCTACTGTGGTGGTACCGATAAGCCGAATGTGTGCCTGGCGGCGGCCCGGTTTTTGCGCGGCCAGGTCCGGGTTGGCGCCGCCAATGACTAAGGAAGCTCCATTGTTTGGTGCCAGGCGCCGATCGCGGGCAGGGGGGGGGGGGCGCTGACCGGTCGCCGACTGACGGACGTGACATTTGCCGTGTCCGGGCCACGTTATCGGCTCGCGGCGATTGCCGGACGCTGCGCACGGAAGTATGACCCAATGCCGCCCCCGGCATGTCGAGCTGACATGTTAGTACTCACAACCCGGATAGGCGCTGTGTCCGCCATGTGATTCATTGCGTCGTGCGGCCCGACTCGTTTGCCTAGAGACTTTGTTTAACTCTATGTCTCTTACCTGTTACAGAAATGTACATATGGGAACAAGTGCAAATACTACCATCCGGAGCGTGGCAACCAGCCGCAGAAGTCTGTGACTGAGAAGCTGGCCGAGCACGCTCAGCGCAGCCTGCAGGGCCGGCGCGGCCTGGGAGACGGCCTGTCAGGTGAGCGAACAGGACAGGTCGGCGGCGCGCGGCCGGACCCTCCCGGATGCGGCCGATCGTGCATGTCATGGCCAGCCGTTTTTCCGTTACGGGGAAGGAATGCAGTTCGTGTCGGCGGCCGCTCACTGGCTGCCCGCTGGTCTGTTTAGTGCATCACATCGATCTTTTACTGATGGCTTGCGGATATCGTTGATGGATGCCATACCGGGCCCCACAGCGACGACAGGCTTTCATAACTGGATCCTGCTTGCATGGCACGCAGGTGAACCGGACTGAGCCTTCTGTCGATGCTGACCGTGTGTGTGTCTGTCTGTCTGTCCACCAGGTGGCGGTCGCAGCGTGCGCGACAAGACGCTGAGTCTGCCGCCGAGCGAGGCGCGGCAGCCCGGCGGCCAGCCGCGGAAACAGCCCGTGAGCCGGACCCGGTCGCTGGTGCCTGGCTCGGTGCCGGCCGACTCGCGGCCCGCACCGCCCGACGACACGCACCTGCGCGCCTCCGCCAAGAGCCGCAGCATGGAGAACGTAGCCAGCGCATCGCGGCTACGCTCGTTCCCCATCGACCCGGCGTCTTACGACCCGGGCGCGGCGGCCGGCGGGGCGGCTGGTGGCGACTGGCAGCAGCAGCAGCAGCAACAGCAACAACAGCAGCAGTGGGCCGCCCACCAGCAGCCGCACGTGCACACCAAGGGCGTGCGCCAGCACCTGGACCTGTGCCGAAAGTCGTCCGACCCCAGCTACCAGAGCAGCCAGGAGCAGCGCGCGCACAAGCCTCTGGTGCGCCAGCTGACGCTCAATCCGACGTACGACCCGCGGCTGGCGCAGCGCGAGCAGTACGTGCGCGAACTGGAGGCGCAGCTGGGCCGGCAGCAGATGATGGCCAACCGTAACCTGTTGTCGCCTCACTGGGACGGCGGCCACAGCCACGGCGGCCAGCACCCCCAGCACGCCAGCGTGACGCGCATCGCGTCCGCGCCGGACTCGTGCCGCCAGCTGGGCATGGCGCCGCCGCCGCCCCACGAGTACACCATGCAGCGTCTGAGCAGCACCTCGGACCCGCAGCTGAACGTGAACGCGTACGCGGCCGGTCTGCCCGATCAGCAGCAGCAGCACTACGGCGCGTACGGCGGCGGCGAGCAGCTGGTGGAGCGCTCGGCGCCCTGGCACCGGCCCGTCACCTCCAGCCCGGGCAGCGGCTGGCCCAGCGTCGCCGCCTCGCGGGCGCCCGCCTTCAACCCATTCCAGCCGAACCCCCTGACGGCCAGCCTGTCGACGCCGCCGCTCGGTGGCGCCGGCAGCCAGTCGCCGGGCGGCGCGGCGGTGGCGCCGGCCGCCGCCGCACCGTTCGGGGTGCTCGGCTTCGGCGCCGGGACCGGCTACAACCCGGACCCGGTGGGCACGCAGCCCTCGTCCCCGCGACAGAGCAAGGACGAGCTGCGCAGGAACATTTACTGGCACCTCTGCGCTCTCTTCCCCGAAGAGAAGGTACGAGTGGCCATGAACCTTATGCCCGATGAGACGGACGCTGCGAAAATATGCGCCGAAATAGTGCAACCCAAGTGACGTGCGGCGCCGATGTGCATTGTTTGCGCGCGTATTTGTGTCGTTATTGTGGATGTGTTGTGATGAGCGGGCGCTGGGCAATCTGGGCACAGCGCGGGGCCGGGGACTCTTGTGTGAGCTATGTGAGTGGCCGGAGCGCCGTATGAATGGACTCAGAGTGAGTGTGAGAGAGATGGCGGGGCAGCGCCCCAGCAGACACCCGACAATCGCGCTGGGCGCGGCGGCGCGCAGCCTGCTTCTCGTAGTTGACTGTTGTGATAACATGGCTGCCAAACGGTCAGCTGCCGGCGGCCAGGGCCGTCGCTGAGTAGGCGGAATCCGCTGACAGCATCGCCGACAATACCATGTATTGGGCGACTCGAGCCGGGCGCGGTACCATCGCCCGGCCTGCCGTATTGCTGGTTATCAGCAGTTTTTTTACGTAGCCATCTTCAGGAGTTTTCTTTTTTGTTGTTGCTTCACTAACCCATGGTTGTAGAATGACGTGGTTAGAGGGCTGTAGATAATATTCATTCTTCCGATGTTATTTTGTATAATTCTTGTAAAATAAACTGTACTACTGATCGTCACAGATGCGTGTTACCAACTCCAGCCAGGTTGTTGTGCGATTACCCGGTCACTCGAAGGTCGGATCCGTGTAATCGAGGGCCGTTTAACGCAGCCGGCGTCGGTGCTGTTCGTAAAGCAAGGACGACTAGGACGTGCATTTTATGGATGGTATCGCGATACAAGGCCGTTGGCCGCACCTCGCCATGTGAAGGTGAAATTCCGGGAAGGCGTGACTGTCGGCTCTAGGTAAATCCGGTACCATCAGTCGGCTGAGGCCCAGCTCGATTTCTGGCTGTATTGATGGAAGAGGAAGAACGGGGTATCGTGCACAGCCGTGCCTCGATATATTTACGGCCGATGGTTAGATTTCCTTATCCGCATAATGAGGTGGTGGTGTGAGCAGGGCAGGCTAGAACCAATTTTCAAACCGAGCTCTACCAAGCCAAAACGAATGTATCAGATGCCTACAATCGAAGAGAAGATAATAGCAGCCATTGGGAAAAAGAGAAGCACATACAGAGAAAGTTGTATGATCTAACGTGCTCAGCTCACTGAGCCCAGCGATACGGAACAAGTCGATTTCTGGAGCCTGGTACAGCTCGATGAATTTCTGACGAATAACCACAGGGATGGGTCGTATACCTTAACCCGCGCCCTGCTGGGGGTCCTGGATTTCCACGCCCTGCTGGGGGGGGGGGGGTGTTTGAACACCCCCCCCCCCTTGTAACTCGGCTCCTGGGCCACGTAGCGATACGCGGAAGGCGGCGTTCGAAAGAGCGTCAAAAATAATGACGAAATCACTTCGGTCAATTTTTTGATCAGGTCAAAGGTCAGGTCACCAGAGGTCATTGAAGGCAAAATTTCGCCGATTTCCAGGTCGAATGTCGAAAATTTCCAAGAAGCCAACGCATAACTCGGGAACCAATAGAGCTACAGCGCCGCGGAAAAGCGCATTTGATAGCCCTATTAACGCCCTTTCTGAGTAATTCTCTCAGATTTGACCTAACGTCAACGGTTTTGCCTGCAGGGGGCAAAAACTGCATAAATAGCCGATTTTTTTCGAAAACAGTTTTTCTGCAATAACGTTTGACCCAAGCCTTGTACGAGCTTACTTTTACCGGCATCGTGTTCCTCTCGTCAAGACGCATCGAATGAACTATGACTTGACCTTGAAAGGTCAACTTGAAAATTTGACCTCAGGTCAAGGTCATGACCTGACCGGAAAGGGTCATGTTGCATATCAGTCGATCCGTATCGTCGAGCTGAACACATCTAAGGCGTTTTCAGCGCTCTAGCATGCCTCTATCAAAAGTTATTTGCGAAAAATTGTTAGATACCATTCGTGACCTAAGATGACCTCAGGGCATAAACAAGGGTCACGGACACCATTTTCAAGTTCAGTGTGTCTAAACCACTTGTAATTCGGTGTTTGGGAGTGTTTATAATGTCTTTCATCCAAAGGAGGCGCATTTCAATTTTCTTCCATTGACTTATAATGGGGAGGTCGCAAAATTGACCTGACCTTAGGTCATCGATATCAAAATTCTGAGATATACATTTTGTACATGCTATTGCTCTTAGCAATCGCTGAAAGTTTCAAAGCGATCGGTCACTCGGTGTAGCTATGACAGACATTGAAAGTTTTTATGAGGTGAGGTCACTTCAAGTGACCTGGTGACCTGACCTTGAATGACCTTGGTCTGAAATTTTCACAACATGTGTAGAATTGATGTATGATAAGGTGTATAAAAAACGGCGGCGCTCCGCGCCGCCGTTTTTGAGATATTCGCGAAAAACCACAAGGGGGGGTGTTCAAACACCCCCCCAGCAGGGCGCGGGTTAACCCTAGAACGCCTAGGGGGGGTTGTATCAACCCCCCCCCTGAGGTTTTTTCGAAGTGCACGCTAAACGGCTTGTCGTAGCGGGCTGAAATTTTCAATACCCTCTGGGACAACCTTTGCGCATCTTTTGCCGAAAAAAATTGATCGGGTCATGTCAGGTCACGGAGTTATGACGTCATAAGAGGTACAGCCTCCGGCCGGATTTTCACAAACTGAGTGCCAACGCCCGAGGTTTCCTGCCGGTGGTACGGAGATCGGTTGATGGATCGTGATGAAACTTCCCATGCATGTTGGGGCAAGTATTGGCTATCATATGGTATAAGAAATTGGACCGGGTCAGGTCAGGTCACGGAGCTATGACGTCACAAGAGGAACAGCGTCCGGTATTATTTTTGAAAAGCGCCCGAACCACTATTTTGCTAATTCTTGTCACCTCAATGGGAATATGCAGCAATATTAGCTTCTATAGGGAGCAAATGGACCTCCCAAATCCAAAAATACAATCAGATTTCAAAAATTTAAATTTTGATTTTTCGAATTTCTGCCGCCGACTGTGACCTTGCCGACTTCCGGCGCTCCCAACGCGCCATTTTTAGAGCTAGGGAAACGAAATACATACCAAACGATAGAGAATTGATCAAGAAACACGATAGTGAAGGTTTCAAGTCGATATCTCCCACCGTTTTGCCGCAATTGCCGCCGAAAGTTGAAAAAGCTATTTTTCCGAAAATTTGACCTTTGACCGGTCAAAAGTAGGTCAAATGTTGACCTAGGACCAAAAAATATACCACCAATCGCGAGATCTCGTTGAGAGCAATCCGTTGGTTTTTTCCGCTAAGCTCTACGACCTTCCGTTTCGAAACGCCAGGGGGGGGTCGTAACAACCCCCCCCCCCTGGTCGTTTGTGTTATGAGAAATGGCCTGGTCGTGCGAGGGTTAAAGGTAAACCAGCAGCTGATTATGACCACATCAAAGTTTATTTTAGAAAATCAAACAATGTATGTACATAGAAATAGTGAAATCAAATCAAAGACCTCGTACCGCAGCGTATAGTTACTCGCTCATTACCTGCATTGTAAGCATGACTTTACCCTGCCTATCTCCTCGTACTCAGCACTGCAGCTACTGGCTGGATAACAGTGAGCTGCGGGCGGGCCTGGGGTCGGTGGCTGGCCTGAGACCGTGTGGTGTGTACACAAAATATACGGTATGGGCTTCTGATATGTTAGCGAGCGGCTATTACAACTTATCAATTCAACGAAATTAGCGTTATTTGTTATAAGCGATTTTTCTTATTTGCGATATATGTTATTATTTGAGAAGTCTGGAATGCGAGTATAAATGCATATGTTGTTCAGGGAGTCGGGAGATTTGTTCGAACGTTTCAGCCGGCTAGTTCGATATCTTGTCATAAGCTGAGCGCCTCGCAGCCTTCTGATTCCGGTTCTCTATATGCATTCCGAAATCCCAAAGTGCCAGATATGCCGTTCCACCGCCGGAGCTACGGTCACCCGATGCCAAATATGCAGACCCTCCACAGTCTTTTTGGAATCCCTAATCCGACTGAGAACAATCTGGGCCAAGAAATTTGTGTATATTTGCATAATTTACACGGTAGCCGGCCTCTATTTATCACGCGATATGTTAGATGGCGCGTAAAGCTTTTGTGCTGCGACCCCTCGTCTTTTCGCCGGGATAATCTATCTGCCCGCGTGAGAATATGCTGACAGAAAAATCAGCTGCTCGCGACGCCAGCCAAGTTGCTCTCTGCATATTCGTAAACTCAAGTACACAAAGTTACTTGAAGCACTTATGCTGAGGAAGGAGCCTGTCGAGCATCGTGGTCATTGCTGACTGCAGCTTTTCAGACGTGAAACACGCACAAAAATATTGGGTGAACGATATAAACTGATAATAAATTGGCCGTCTATAGATGTGGCAGTTGTGCCGGTTAGTCATCAAGTTAGCATTTTTATTATCCATTCGCGTTGTTTTGGTCGCAGTGATTTTCGCCCCTAAAATATTAAACAAATGGCCCTGAGGCCTTGTAGCTCCACTTTCATATTCAAACGATAGATGGCTCTGCCGGTCAAACGCCTGAGAGGTATACTGTACCGCCTTACCATGGTCGTTCCTCTGCCGCTTTTCTGTTGGAAGTGCTGCCTTTTTTAGACCGAATACGACTATGCTGGTGCATAACTGCGTCCAAGGCCCTAAAACTGCGTCAATATATCACCGGTGGGTTACCTATTCCTTGATTTCACTGAACCACAGTTCGCGTAGTAGGGGCCTACCTACCATCATTTGTTGATGCTACATAGACGTGGGTGACAAACAAATCCGTAACCAGACAGTATACATATATTGGAGCGTTGCGTTATCAATAGTTCTTTATTGCTAGCGAGAGGAACAATCAAAATTGCGATTCTTTGCAATCATGGTTGCAATTCGGTTGAATCACGCCCCCGGTGTTGCGTCCATGACGTACAACACCGCCGATTGAGAGTGCACTCTGTTGAGTAGCCCCATCGGGCTGTTGTCGACTACCGAGTGGGTGACGTTATCGCTGTTATGTGACTCTCAGTTGAGCCCCACGACAGGCTCAGTGTGGTGTCCGCCCGCACTCTGTATGCATGAAACACTCTCCTTTCGGCGCCGCTGATCTGATTTGGCTGTATTGTTTTCTGATTCGATCAGCGTCAATCCAAAAATCTCCGGAAAATCTCCCCCAGTCCCCTCGATGTGGGTGCAGCTTAATTAATCATGTATTGGCAGTCGGCTTTGTGCGGCCGAGGGCACTCGCATCGGGACGTGCCAAACCGTTTGCAGCGGGGAAAAAGCAGCTACCACAAGTATCCTAGCCTAAAAGTATATAGTTATATACTATACATCCTATACATCCCGGCAATTATCGTTTATAGGTGACTTCAGATGATTTACCTACTTTTCAATCAAGTGAAACGTGGAGATAACTCTTTTCATTTATTGTCAGAACACCTTTGAATCCATTACCAAAGGCATCACAAATTATTGCAATTGTTCTTTGTTTCAATGAGGCTTATAAACCAACATAGAAAGTCGACATTTTACACGGTAATAGTATTGTAAATCTAAACGTTCTACAAGTCTTTTTAAGACTAATCTAATCTATTACATTTATTCATATAGGTGCCACCTAT